CATGCCACGTGGCATAGACACCTCACTATAGGATAAACACACATTTACATGCCTTGTCCCAACACGCCTTGTCTTTACATGCCACGATGTCTCTACATGTCACGTGGCATGCATAGACACCCCACTATGGGATAAATAGTCGATACGAAAAAACCGAATAATACCACATGAAACACGTTAACCAAGTGACACGTCAACGAGATCCCTACATATCACGGATATCCCCCTCAACACTCTTTGCAACTAAGATTATTGCTGGTTGTCGTGGATGATTTTCAAATGAGTAAAAGGCGTGATGTATTATGAATATAACAACCCTTATGCATGATGGTCATAATGTAATAGTAACCGACTGACCACAATTTTTTCTCACTATGTGGTAGGAACTTCGGTCAGCCTGGAGTACTGCTACAGTTTTTTGGACCTACCTCGACCCCTTCTTCAGAAATTTGGTACGCTTTGTTGACAAGCTCAAGACCAATCTATAGCTAGAGATTGGGGATTTGATCTTCCACTTTATCAATCTACCCTAATACGCTTTCTACTTACACAAATAAGTAATTGAGGAACTCATCTATCTACGCTGACGAGTATGGTTAAATGAAGCATACTAGCATTATGGATTGGTTTTATACCACTATTAAAATTCGTTATTTAAGACCTATCTTATCTCCATTAATAAGAACTGTCTTTCGTGATTCGTAAATTATTGTTGGTTGGATAAGATTTGTAGCTATTGGAATAGGTAAAAACGTGATCCTTAATAGAGTCCGAAACCTTGATGCACGATTGACATGATGTCATAGCAACTTACTAACAATCTGATCTCCTTGTATGGTGCTGACAGAGTAATTCTTACTTTTGCTTGTTTTGGCTTGAAGAAATCTTCTTTTTTCCAAACTCGGAACGACACTGCAACTAGTATATCCTCTCAAATATTCTCTTCTTCTTATTCGCGTAACAGGCGCCCGTTTGTTGAACAATGATAATACAGACTGCTACGAATTCCACTGAATCGACGTCGAATAAAGGTTTCTCCATGAACATGTGTGACCCTTATTGTCACTTCCACAAAAGCTAACTTGAACAGCTCAACTTTATGCTCGCTCGAGAACTTCAGCTCAATGCATGCCCCTGTGTTAAAACCATTCAGGCCCCGGCTCGGAGCTATACTTTGATGGTACCATTGAAAAAACAGCATGAGCTCAGAAAAATTTCCTTATGTGCACAATTTTGCGGCCGAGACGATTCCTCACAGAGGGAATTGCGAAAATTCCGATGGAGATATAGAAGAGTGAAAGGAGCATGAAAGGAAAGATAATAGGTTGAGATCAAGATACATAAACTAGTATAACCACGCGGTAATCGATGAAAAGCTGCCGCTGCCCCCATAGGTCAAAAGGTTATGATAAAAGAATTTAACGGAAGTTGATCAGACTTCATTTTCTCGGAAAGATCCAACAAAACCGGAGGAATAACCTACCTTTTGCCTATCCTCCTTGCTGTCCAGAATCTGTGTCGGGAGTGCCCGCATCGCTGACCTCATATGCTTCCGCACCACACAAATATGAATATAAAATTTATCATAGATATAGAGATCTGTTCAGTCGGTGCTGAGTAGAAAAGATCAGTGAGTATGCAAGTGAGGCGCTAGATGTTCGAAGACAATGGGCTCAGAGGGGGTGTGGGACGTTAGTCTCGACTGACATTACTTCGCGCCGAGGTGCGAAGGGACTTCCTTAATGACTAACCTCATCTTAATTACGCGCCTCCCCTTGATCGTAACTAACCTTATCTTACTTATGAGAGTGATGGCAATGATGAGAATAATGAGAAAATGAAAATTCAAGAAAAGCAGTTTTTAACGTAAAATTTTCATGGTCCTCTGTTTTAAAAGTTCTATCACCATATGAATAGAAAAATTTGAGGCTCATTGAAATGAAGTTCGTGTAAGATGTAAAATTTCATGGTCTTTGGTTTCAAAAGTTCTATAACCATGGAATAGAAAAATTCAAGGGTCAAAAAAAATGAAGCCCGTTTCGATGTAAGGAAACATTTTTTTTGAATTTTCACTCATCTGTGATATCAGACAGCGTTTACAGAAGCGACGTAGTTGTTTGATATTGGGGCATCTCGTGTTCGAATGGTCATTGAACGCTCGCCGGCTGATCAGCTAGGCCATTTCTCACTTTTCATGGAATATTACAATACTTCAGGCTAAATTCAGCACATCGAAGAGAGGTCATCAGCGCCAGTCATAAAGATGTCAAAATTCGTAACGAAGAAGACTATCTGAATTGCTTAATTATTATTTTAAGATACTTCTTATTAAAAAAATTAGGCTTCTTTAGATTTCACTGGAATTTTTTTTGTTGAAATTTCTATTATCTTGCATGGTAATAAAGCTTTTAAAACCGAAGACTATGAAAATTTTACGTTAAAATACTACTTTTCTTGAAATTTCATTTTCTCGATATTCTCATCATGAGGTCACTTCGCAAATCTGCGCGAAGTAAAGTCAGTCAAGACTAACGTCGCACACCCGGCTCAGAGGTGCCAGGACGTGCAGTGGACGAGCTTGATTTTTGGTCGAAGGCTCTGACGACTGTATTCATCGAGAAGCCGACGACGATCCTTGAATACGCGAGATGAAATGAGTCACGGACACAGAGAACTAAAATTCTACAGCGCGAGGGTAAGGCAGTGTTGCGCAATGTGAGGAAAATCGACTCCCTTTGATCTACACCTCACCACCGACTAGGCCCTACTCCGCTGATAAAATCTCACTTCCCAAACTCTCGTTCTCTTACAGTCAACTCACGTACTCTTGATTTTCGGACTATGGTCTCTTCCCTACGGGATCTCCTTCACTGCGGGTTCTCTCTCACTGGAGGATCCCCAGCCGTTTAGTGACGAGGCTACGTAGGGCGTCCCTAAGTGGCGGATAGGGGAATTTATCGCCGACCAGAGTCACCGGTACTTGCCTAGAGACGCAAGTGGACTCAGGGGATGGACTCCACAATTCTGCTGTGCTGGTCGATATACCTTAGATTTCTCGCAGGTGCATTCACGTATAGGTGTGTGGAGAGTCTGTACGTACAGTTGGCATCCTGTCCATCGACTCGGCCAAAAGCTTGCATTCGAGTGACTGGGAAGTATCTGGGAGGCGATTCGGGGCTGCCTTTAAAAAAGAAGCCCCTCGTCCACTTTCCTCATTTCGGGATAGCCTGGCAAGCCCCAGGAGTCAACCTAGCCCCCACGTCAGAGCGTGGCAAGCTACACATCTACTCGCCAAAAACAGCAATAGAAAAGGGCCTCATTCCCCTGAAACTGAGAAACCTTCCAATACGGCAGCATTGGGTAGGAATGCTCGGGAGAGGCTGCTAAAATCTCAACATCAAAAGAGGCTGCCCAAAAGGAGATGAACTAAGATGGCGATCTGTACTTTCAACGCTTGCACGCTTGCATCGGAAGCGCGTATAGAAGACCTGATGATGCAAGCTAGGATGATCAAATGCGACGTCATCGGACTGACCGAGACGAGAAGGCATCGTCACGCTGTATTTGAGATTGGAGGAGAATTGTTCCTTGGAACATGCGACAGCAGAGGCGTCGGCGGCGTAGGTGTCCTCGTCAATACCCCCTTGGCCATTAACATCGATTCGTACGAAAGCTTAGCAACCCGAATTGGACGTTTGTGATCAAAAAGATGTGGCTCAATCCCAGCTCTAATCATCTTCGTTGCTTATGCACCAACATCGAGCTACGAAGAAGAGGAGTTGGAAGCGTTTCATATGGATCTGGAGAGGCTCTACAGAGAAAAACAACGACAGAAAAACACACTTTCCTCAAAGTCGTCGTCGGTGACTTCAACGGCAAGAAAACACAGAGGAACGCCTGAAGAGCTTCACATCGCGACTCACGGAATGGAATGGAATGAGCAGGGTGAAAGGCTATCCGAGTTTATCATTTCGACCCACACCATCCATGGTAACTCGCAGTTCCAGAAGCCCTCTCATTTGAAATATACATGGGAGTCGCCTGGTCAGTTCCATAATGAAATAACAAAGAGACGACTCTCTTCGAAGATTCTCGAGCTGATACGCCAGCGTGAATCTCGCGAGCTACAGGAAATCATCAACAAACGTCCGAACCTGCGAAGCTATGCAGAGAAGCGATAAAGGGAGATTGAAAGAGAGAAAAGCAGCAGTTATGGACGAAGCGGCCGAGGACGGAAAGAGCAAAGAGGGAGCTTCGCCAATTAAAAGACCGAGGTGACTTCATCCGTCGTCCTGACGAGAAAACTACTGCATATTGAAGGTCAGCAGAGAAGGTAATCTACGTTTCCTACTCGGATTTCTTCGACAGCCATGTCTACCTACCTATCTACCACCTTAGGCAGACTCATATATCGCGCCTTCGATTCCGAAATCCACATGTCGTCACCTTTGTGAAAAATCCCAATACGGCCCGGTCCCAATAGGATCGAACCAGAACATCTAAAAAGCATATCACCAGTTGTCGTCAGACTAAGCTCTTCACTTTTCGCAATGCAAGTAACTCTCGACCATATTGGGAATTATCGTCCAAACTGCCTCAAAATCTACAAGCTTTTTACATTCATGTTTACACTCGTATGGCTGTCCTTCATCTAATATTCTGTCGATCCTGTACAGGATGACAGAATATTAGATGAAGGACAGCCATACGAGCAAGCAGGGGTTCGGGGAAGGTTCAGCACAATCGATCATATCAACACTCTTATAAGACCTGTTGAAGTATCGCGAGAGTACAAAATCGCGCTATGTCTGAAGTTCAGTTTGAAGAAGGCCTCTGATACCGACGAGACAGAAGCGATAGTTGAAACCCTGGGCAACCAGAGTATTTTTACTCAACACACAACACAACACGCAACAGCGCATGGATGCTTCTTGACCTCTACAACAACTTTACGACAGGATATCGCCATTCTATAAAAAACCCATCATCGACGTGAAAAGATGGGTTTGACAGGGCGATACGATCTCGGTCAAACTTTTAGTTCCGCTCTCCAGAACATTATGCATAATTTCAAAGGGCAAGACCCGGGAGTGAAGGCCGCTACTTTCATCACATCTGCTTTGCAGACGATGCAGATCGTGCTTATAATAACTGCAGAGGAGCAAATGCTGACCAATTTGTATGTACGTAGAGAATTCAATATTGTGAAGGACCTATCTCCCGAGCAGAGTAGAAGGAACGCGCTGCTCGGACAACATCCAAGAATGAATAGAGAAGTAGACAAAGAACATCCGGCTCGCTTTTACCGTTTCCACACTGCTATCTTTCCTGCTTTAACGTACGGCCCGGAGCTACGAAAGCGGGATGAACGTGCTATCAGCGTTACTCAATGAAATTTGGAAAGGACCACACTGAATTTTCCAGAAATGCAAAAGGGATTCCAGAGTTCCGAGCTCCGTCATCGAAGATAGGGGATGGTGTAGCTCACTCCAAGAAATCAAAGATCAGGGGACACGTTGTGCAATGTCGTGACGACCGTTGGACCAGGGCGGTTACTGACTGGATCCCTCGGGACATCAAACGAACTCCAGGACGGCCGCCAACGAGATGATCAGACTTCTTCAAGGAAGCTCTGAATGAGAGGAATGCTGAGCCTCGTGTTCCTTGAGCAAGGACGATTCACTGGACCACTCTGGCCCGCAACAGGGGCGATTAATGGGCCCGTTCGAGGAAATGGATGATCAACGGGACGACAGGTGATACAGGCGATTGCTTCGATGGGCAGTTGAGGACATTATTATTGGGTTGATGCATAATTATTGAAGATTATTCCAACAAATCTTATTCAAAGAAACGATAAGAAATGTTTGACAAAGACATGTTCAAATAATTGCTTGGGAACATGCCCACCATCTACGTCAAGCACTGCTTCACATTTACTAGGCGGTCGGATTCCACAAGCGAAAAAGTTTCGATTCTTGGAGGCGATCCATATCTTGACATCGGCCATCAAATCATCAATTTCGTCGTAAAATCTGTTCGCTAGCCAATTTTCCAACGAACGATTGACGTGATAATCCATATAGGAGTTCGTATCGGGTGAGTATGTCAAATGTAGGAAAAATCCCATTCCCTTCATGACTTTGGCTGACTGTTCCATCGTCGAAAAGTTCGTTGAGATCGCGAAATGGTTCCGGCATCTTCTATCATGTCTCGAAGTAATAAAGAATAATGTGGCTAATATGAAGATGACGTTCTAGTGCATTTTTGCTAGGAAAATCAAAGAGATTATTTCTATAAAAGCCCCGAATCAAACATTCAAATTGTATCGAGAGAAAAGAAGCCGCGAAAAAATCTGCAATAATTATGCATCAACCTAATAATTCTAATGGCAAATTGTGAAAGCAATTGCGGCTCCCATCGCATGTACTCATTAATCAAAGAGGGAAATCGGTAGTCACCCATTATCGACGGAGTATATTTCTGCGAAAGGGACTGCTAACAATAAAGTGAGTTCGCATCGTCAGTGAGTCAAGTTCCCTTTGAAGCCCTTGTAACCGAGGCCATGAGAAAGAAGCTCGTGCGCAGCTCAACTGGTATCGCCTTAAATTGAAGCCGATTCAAGTATAACTTACTTACTTGGATACTTGGACGCTCGTTGTCGGCTGATATTTCTCAGCGGCGAGCACACGCTTCCATCCATTTTTGACGATCTTGAGCGGTTTGGGACCAGTGTTGACCATCGTTTTCCTGAAGTTTCTTCAGTGAATCACTCCATCTCGTTGCAGGACGGCCTAGTGTGCGTTTAATCTCACGTGGGTACCAGAACGTGACGCGAGTGGTCCACCTGTCGTCCGTGCGTCTAACCACGTGCCCTGCCCATCGTTTCTTTGCATTCCACGCGTACACTTCGACGTCACGGATGCCGGACATTGAGCGCATGTCTGCGCTGCGGAGGTTAGGACTTCTCTGCTTTGCGCGGTTGATCTTCAGCAGCGTCCGCTCTAGAGCTCTTTGTGCGCGAACCAGCATTAGCGTTGACGTCTTGTTCTCCGCCCACGTCTCGGATGCGTAACAGAGTGCTGGCAATACCGTAGAGTCGAAAAGGTCAGCTCGTACTTTCTTGTCCGATACGAGATGAGCC